CTTTTTACAGATTCAGACTAACACGGCTACCCCTCTGATACTATTTCTAAAGCAGTCTGTCCAGTGTCCGGCAGTGTTTTGTTGTCCCAGCCTAAGCTGTTTTCATTTTGCATCATTATATCCACGTGGTGGTGGTGTTTTTTAAATAAGCACTGCATTCTATGCAGATATCCACAGGTTCAATGTTTCACCACTAAGCTATAAGCATTCTGCTATTATTCTAACAGTGCACTGTGTTAGGGCTACCAGATATTTGGGTTTTCCAGGATATTGCCTCTTTGAGCCCCTGTCCAAGGGGATTTTTCAAATAACAGGCAATATCTGGGGTTTTTGTAGAGCACAGGCTGAAGCTCAGAAAGAGCCCCAATTGATCTGCTTCCTAATTGGTCTCACCCCTGCATTGGCAGCTGATTGGTCCATTCCCCTGCAGCCACAGCTGCCAGATCCTGCCCAGCTGGCTCCCAGCCCTGGGAAGGGGCCCTGCAGAGACTGATGGTTGTTGCTGTGCCCAGGGCTTGTGCCAGCCACCCTGCCACCATGACAGGGCGTGACACTGCCCCCCACCTCTAGTGAGTACCCCTGCTGCAGGTACCCCTTTAGCTTCCCCAACTGTACCCTAACCCCGCCCTCCAGAATCCTCTTTTTGGGAACCTGAAATATGGCAACCCTACAGTGTAGGATCTCTACTGGAACTCTGAATCTAGGGGTGAAAATAATAAATTCCTATGATTCCTCTCCTTTCATCCCATCATGCATCTGGCTTTTGTAAGACAGCTCCATTGTCAAACAGCTGCAGTCAGGCAGCATGGAAGAAATACATGACTTGAAATGCATGGCATTCTGGTGACTGCTGTTAAGAGGGGACTGGACCATTTCCTCTCCCCAGAAGGCAAGAAGGCCCAGGACCTCAGCATGGGACCATGCAGAAACACAGGGCATGGTTGCTGTATGATCTGTATGTCTGGGAGCTGGAATTATAATGCAAGCACCTGTCTGGGAGCTAGATTTAAATGGAGTGATGACATCCCATCAAGATGACTGATCCCGGAGGAGTAGAGAGCACATATGTGAGACAGCCTGACCCAGGTATGCAGCAAAGCCTCCCCCACCAGCTTTCAATGGTTAAAAGAGGAGCTGCCCCTCAAACTGATTG